ATAATGTAAATCAGGGTTCCTCAAATCCAGCCCTAGAGGGCCACTACCCTGAGTTCAGCTCAAACCCTGATCAAACTCACTTACCCGTGATTTTCTAGGAATCCTGCTGAAGACCTTGATGAGTTTGCTCAGGTTTGTTTGATTAGGGTTGGAGCTAAACTTTGCAGGGCATTGGCCCTCCAGGGCAAGATTTGAGGATGCATTTCTAGATTTTATTATGAGTGATTCATCAATGTATTTGTTTAATTTGAATGCTTTTCTGCTCTTTTCCCAATCCACTTAAATTCCACCCCTCTAAAATCGACTGAAAGCTTGCATTTATCTCAAAATCCAATCCAAAACCGATGCATTGAACCAAGTCCCCAGCAATTTTTCAGTAATCTGTTAAACTCAAGATGTACGTCACAGTATGGAAGGACAGATCAGTAGCTACTTCAGTGTCGTCGTGACTTTACAAAATGGTTACTTATAAACAAATGACTCGTATTTTAAAATATATGTTCAAAAGGACAATCTCAGATAAGATGAAGACTCAAATTAGGTAAAGGTTTTGCTGAGGAGGTCTTTAATGTCAGCATGAAACAAAGGTTGCGATTGTCCTTTCTTCGATATTGTGACCTGTATATTTGAGGGAAATGGCTTCTTAAATGAGAAAAAATGTAGGGTGGGACTTGCTTTTTTTCCATTGGAAATTTATTGGATTGTTGTTGTTTACTAATTCTCAATGGTTACAGGGAGGGATGGATTTTTGTCTCGTCCTTTTGAAATATTGCAAGGACATGTGCACGAATAAATCATTAATGATTAACACTGCAATCAATATTCCGTTAAAATATGAACAGTCCATTTTGATTACACAGTGGCATTAACAATTCCTAGCAAGAACAGACCAAATGTTGTTGGAAGGCTTTGAACAGCACACTCCTATGGCCTGTGTTTCCGTTTCTCTCAGGTCTCATCACTTTTGAGGATTTCCGTCAGACGTTGAAACTGCTCAGTGCCTATCTGAAAATGGAGATCTCTGATGAGGTCATCAACAAGCTGGTTATCAGCACCGACACAAATAATGATGGTAGCGTTGACATTGATGAGTTCATGGAGGCTTTCCGGCTGGTGGACAAAAGCAGACTCGAGAGAGGTAAAAGCCTATTAAAGCTCATGCAGGACAACCAGAGCCTTCCTCAGGAGACAGAAACCCCACGGACTGTCTACTCTACAGCTCCACAGACTTCACAATGTCCAGCTTCACAGCCTGCAGATCCACCAGCTTCAAATACTACAGACCCGCATGCTCACAGACCGCAAATCCTCCAGTTTCACAGACTGCAGACACTCCTGGTTCACTCACTGAAGACTGTCCAGCTTCACAGACTGAAGATCTCTGCCACATTTCTGTTGTTGTTCCACCACAATAACTGCTGACTGTTGTAAAATTACACTGCTGTAAACTGTAGCCTTCCCTTGGTATTTAACCCTACAGATTAACCTTTTATAGACCTTTAATCTTCCTCTCTTAACCAAATATACTTCAGGTTCACAGGTTTAGAATACACCTAGATGTTCAGTGATCAATACTACATGTTTTCCATGCTTCATTACTGTACTACATTTTATAAGCTGCTGATATTTCAAGGATATCTGCACTTGTTTTTATCTCCCTGACAACTGGTCCAAGATAAAGAGGCTTCGAATTTGCCTTCATTGCCTCTGACAAATATATTCACACATTCTGCATCAAAACGAGCCATTGGTCTCTTGATATGTCCATGACATAATTATATTGTAACAGAGTATATGTTGTTCATAATGTAGGCTATTTGATGTGTGTAAATGTGCTATGCAAGTAAATGGGTAGACAGAGATTGAAAACTTTTGCCTGTAACTTGTGTTTTGAAGGATATTTTTTAATAAGAGGCATGTTGACGTTGCTCTGTGCTTTATTGCTGTAAAAGGCATTGTCCTAGAAAACAGACCAGCCAAAAAGCAGACTGATGTTTTCGTTTCTACCCACACGCACGGAGTTGGCTTATTAAAAATAACATAATTTGAAGTTTAGTTTATTTCTAGAGCACATTTAAAAACAACAGTAGTTAGTTGACCAAAGTGCTGTACATAAAGGGTCGTAAAACATACAACAATAAGGTACTGTACATAGGTTAAGAGGGAGTATATTCGCAGTTTTATGTAGTCGTAATGCTGTGAGGAAGTATTTCTTAAGTATTTTATAACCAGAAATCCATCTCAACCAACCCATTGCTAACCACCAAATATGGCATTTCTCCGCTCAACTCACGTATGTATGACTGATAAAGTATTTAGCGATATTTTCTCAAAGAATATGATTATTACTAACTGCGTTTTACCACTAGGAGGCGGTGCTGTGACATGTCTGTGTAATGACTACGGTGTTTAGACGTATATCGCTGTCTGTCTGCTCGCTCGCCCTCGGTTCTTTTGTGAACATGAAGAGGGACTGTGTGGGTGATGGAAGAAGGCCTGGACAAGTTCAGCTATCAAACAGCGCTAGTCTTCACATGTCTGCTGTGAGTCACTGCATATCACTTTTTTTGTCGTCAGGTTTCGTCAGACCTCCCACTCTATACCTCACTTTAACATCAGAGGTTATCGCCACTAGTGGTTTCAACACTTTCCTGTAGTTGTGGCCAAATGGGTTGGTTGTTTTAACGACCAAGATCTTTTTACATCTAGGTTATTCAAGTGACTGACGCAGGACAAGCGTTGCTTCATTTCTTCTGATTTGAAGACCTTGAATAGACCATCGGTTTTTGAGTAACAAAACCATCAAGTCCTTCAACTGGGGTTCAGTGAAATGTCACAAATCAAGACATTGACAACAAAGTAAATCTGTGGAAGAAAAAAGGTACAAATATGTCCTTTTAAGGGTACTGCTCCAGGGACAAGCTGTTGTACCCCAAAAGTTACAATTTTAAAACCCTTTTCTCTCTCTCTGTGTGTGTGTATATATATTATATATCTCTTACTGTATTGTATCTTCACCCCAGACCATTGATGTTCCCAAATCCCTGTATGAAAACTTTACTGTTAAATGCTTTTGTTTTGGGGGAAACATACAAGAATATTTACACAGATTTTTCCATATAACAACTATTGTGTTATTTACACATATTTACACAGATTTTTTTGTGTAATTGATTGAGTTTTTCACATTTATGTTACAGAAGATTTCTATTTCAAATGAATGCTATTCTATTAATAAAATAATCATAAAAAAATAAATCACCATTTCCCCAAATGTATTAAGCAACTATTTTTAACATTGTAATAAGTATTTGTGAGCAGCAAATCAACATATTAGAATGATTTAAGGATTATGTACCGCTGAAGAAAGGAGTAATAGCTGCTGAAAATATGTACAGTATATGAAAATTGAAATTTAATTGTTGTATTAAATAATTTTACATTATTACAATTTTAATGTATTTTGATTGAATAAATGCAGCCTTTATGAGAAACTTATTCAGAAAATAAATTAGTGTAAAAAAAAAAATCCACTTTTGTATTTCTTGATTCCCTCTGTCTGTAAATGTGCCAAACAAGAAAGCAGAAACATGACAAAAGAATTTGCAAGAATTTCAAGAATTTTATTTATTTTTTGCAAATAACACTAAAAAGGTTTACAAAAGCATTGTAGAAAGATTTGTGCAGTGTAAATTATCAAAACTAAAAATGAATATTAATTGAAATGATTTTGCACCTAACATGACATAAGGATTGTCATTCTCAGCAGCAAAAAACGCAATGCATCTCAGGAGGACACGATGACGTGTTCAGTGTTTTTAAAACCACCCTCAAAGATGTCGTGAGGAATTTACCAGCCCAAAAAAACAACTGCTACATTGCTTAAACATTTTGCTACTAAAGCAAGTGAAATAAACAAGGATGGTATGGCACTAAAAGCTCATCCCTGAAGGAGGGCATCATTCATCTAAGAAAAAAAGGTTAGATTGCAAGTGGAAATTTCCCTTGTACCCAACATGGCACTATGGCAATCTTCCTAAGTGGAACTCAAAGACTCTCAGCCTTCCCCTTGTTATTCCAGTTGGACAAACAGTGTGTTGACAGCTTGAGAGTTGTATAACAGGAGATCATTACACACAAAGGCTCACACCCCACAGATACAACACAAGCCTTTCTCCATCGAAGTTAACAGTTTGAAGATTAGGACAATATTCACTTGGTACTACTTCATAAATCTGAAGGAAAACAAAAAAAATAAAATGAAGACAACAGAAATGTGTTTGATGACCCCACTTGTAATATTACAAAATAATTAAAAATATATAGAAATGAACAAGACCAAAGAAAAGACCTTACAATTTCAGATAATGTACATACCATTGAACATGTGAATACATAAATATTCGTCTGTCTGATTACAAAACCTATTTACTTCATTATAAAATTTGCTTTTTACATATCGTTGTATTGCTGAGTCAATACATAATACTGAGAGTTTCTTTGCACTCTGTGGCAACACTTTACATCTTAAGTTCTTTGCTGTATTATTAAACACAATATAAACTCACATAGTATGCTCTGGAAATATTTTGTGACTTTTTTCAATTTGTTTTTTTCTTATTTGCCCTTGCAGACAATGAGGTTCTAATGCTCTTGTAACTGGGAAATCGATGGCACTACAGCTATCTGTGTGGAAAGCAAACAAACCAGTTATCTACCAAACCGATATAATCTTTGGTCAAGTATATAGGGGAAAAGTCACCATAAGGACTGTATAACTGTATAGAAATGGCTCAGGTTCTTAGATCGTTCATATTCAAGTCACATGTTACGTCTCATCACAATAGTCCAGCGGGGTCTTTTACAGACGGAGCGGAGCAAAGACCATTTTTACATAAATGTATATACTAACTGCGCGGACAACAAAACTCAAAAGAGCCACTCCAATGGACTGGTAGTTAATTAAACTAAAGCTTGAATTACTTTCCCTCAGTTTTCGGTTCACATACAGCTGCATAAGACATGGCGCATACACAGTGTTTCCAGTTTAAACCTTGCACTAAATCTTTAAGATAAGCTAAATTCATGGAACAGGCAAATACGCAACAGTGTGCACTGCAATCCACGAAAACCGCAGTCGCAATAAGTAACAGATGGTTTACGTCAAGTAAAAGTAACAAACATCAATCATTCAAACAAGCCTCACCAAAATGGGAATGATTTACTGATGATACATATGAGTGTAACCGCACTCATGGGTTATGGCAACTTCAGACAGACAACCAAAAAGATTAATTTGGACAAACAGAAACGAATATGACGATTCATCTTTAGTGATATTTTGTAAAGTGTGCAGCTATCACATCCTGTTCAAGTTGATTTAAAATATGGCCTCAGGTCATTTTTTAGCAATAGCGAAGGCTCGGAACATCAAGGACAGAAAAAGCAACACAAAAATAAACTCAACAGACACGAGCAGTGATTCAAGAGCTAGAGTCCCGTTCAGCCACAGAGGGTTAATATAAACCAAACGTGCACAGAAAAAATGTGCAAACTTCACCGATAACCCCTCAAAAACCTGCTGACCTTTAACCCCTGATTTGACTGTGGGTTCGGTGGACTAGTTGTACTCTCGATATTACAGGACAGACGTGTTTTGCTGTGAAAAGGGATGGACGTAGTTCTAAGTCCGCCACTGATTGGCCATTATCTGTCTGACATTTCGTCTAGTTCCACCTTATACCTTCCTTTACCATGCAGCAGAATCACATTGTGTTCGTAAGTATTTGTAAGGCAGAAAAATTCAAGTCAGAAAGCTAGTACGATGTCTGTAATACAATGCCTTAAAGGAGACTGTCTGACCAGCCATCATCACTGAAATGTTTCTGGCATCAGAAAAAAACGTGACTCAGATACTATGAAATGAAGAGGACCGCTGAAGTCATTAGTTTCCACTTGTTGTCACACTGCATCGTGCAAAACGGTGGACGGTGACCCACCAGAGCAGTTCACCACAGTGTGACAAAAACATGCAAGCATTGACATGCCTGCAGAAATACACACACACATACTGGTATGTACAATCAGACACACACACAAGTTCTGGATAAGACCCAGTTTTTGTTAGCATATTAGACCTTTTAGCTCTCTAATACTCTTAGAGGAGGTAAATCAATAGTTTATCTTATAATAGTTTATACCATTATCAAAGGGTTTGATGTATGAAGAGCTGTGTTAGTTCAAGGTCTGCCTGTGTAGACCTGTATACAGTAGTGTGGGAAGAGATCTGAAACACTTTAAGAGCACAGGCTGCGAACCCTTCACGCTCTCTCATGCTGAAAGGGTTTATGACCCTTCAGGAACTATGGACTCTGTGAGCATGCAATGCATATATGCGTTTTCAAAAGGCAAGAGAGTGTGTTTCAGGCCTCTCAGGACTAGGCAACAGAAGCCTCTGGAAACCCAGAGACGGTTGTTCGAAACTGAAGTGGGTGCTTTGAGTTTACACATGTTTTGATTGAAGATATGGCAGTTTGAAAGGCCATGCTCAAGGAAACAAAAAAGTCACACGAGTCAAATAAGTGACCCTCGGCAAACGGTGGTGAGCGTGTGGGGCCTGGTCCCCGAAGACGAATTGCACTGTGAAAACTACCATATAAAAAGGGTGAGCGAGATAGACGTGATGTCTTTACGCGAGACTCCACCAGTCATCTTCATCAACACTTTTGCGCCTCTACTGGCGACATGGCGATGTAAGATCCGTTCCTCAAAGGCTGATTGGTGCGGTTCTCTGGCGAATCCTCCGCTTGGTTGCTCACTTGGGTATAAGCCGTTTCATCCTTCGTCGTCTGTAAAGAACATGCAGAACCATTAGCGTGTGCACTGTTAAAACCATGTAGATGTCAACATTAAATCATGTACCACATGGACTAAGTAGCTAATCATCTAAACACTGCAGAAATACATTACAATCACCATGCAGGCAAAGCAATGAACATGATTTGCAGAAACAGGAGACATTATTCATATTCACATGAAAACGTTTAACTTAAATGGTCACTCATAATGCTTAAAATGACCAAATACAAAAACACAACAAGCAAATTTGAACAAAATGAAAGCAAAATGTGTGTATAAGGGAAAATGAAGACTTACAGCAAAAGAATGAAAAGCTTCAGTAAAATCAATACGTTTTACTTCATTCTGAATTGGAACAAAAAAAAAAGGGGAGGAGAAATGTTACTGAAAACGAAAACATAACAGCATTATGCATCATTGGCAGATTTCAAGTAAAAATAAATTCTATAAAAGAACTGTTGAACATTAGTGTATAAATGTGCAAAACAAATGTTTTCCCCACTCAACCATTCATTAAAGGTCATAACAATAGTTGACCAACCCAACTGATAATTACCGTATATTGCAAAGAAAAACTGCATAATAAAATAACACATTTCATAAAATAATACGTGCACTAAAGCACATGCATTCCCTCATACAGGTGCATGCATGGGTATCAAAGCTAGGGTTAGTGCCGTCAAGGTGAGTGGCATTTAATTGACGTTCAAGTCTAGGGTGTGAAAAGTTTGAGGGGATTTTAAGGGCTTTTCCATACTGGCATTTCTAAAGAATATTAACAGTTACTCCATTAATATTTTTCCACGGAAAGGTATCGTTGACCTTCAAATGACATTTCTACTCTTAACTAGGCAATATAAAACTCATAAATTTTTGACCTTTCTCTGGCGGTTCCTGCAGACGAGGAAGATCAGGACCACAAGTAAAATGGCCCCCAGTCCCACAATGATGACTGGGAAGTTGGACATAACTGTTACAATCAGCAGAAGCGTCCTCATTTGGGCTGCAGACTCATCGTCAATAGTTGCCGTCTAAAAATTCAGCAGAAAACAAAACAAATGAACTTTCTGAACAGAAAAATTGATATTCCGAAGGAAGCAAAGATGACATAAAAACTCACCTCATTGACATACATGATGGGGAAAATGGTCTCATTCAGGAATTTTGTTTTGCTGAAAAGGAAAAAAAGGCTAATGAGACTTCCATTTTTTTCACTCCAGAACATTCTTTAGTGGTTTTGTGAGACGTTTTTACTCACGGGAAGCCAGAGACTCGCTTCAGTATGACATTGAGCTGAGCTCTCTTACAGGCACGAATGGGAACCCCTGTGGTCTGCAGAGAAAAAAGAAATGGGACAATTTACTATTGGAAGTCAACCAATATTCACCACAATACACTCAGTCTTTGCTTGGTTCCACCCGAAACAACGTGTGGAATGAGATGAGTTCATCAAACACCAACTTAATCTGAGTCAATTTTCCATCACGACATGCTACAAAAACAATCACTGGGATTCTAGGTAGAGTTACGTAGGTGCAGTTTCACATTCACTTGTGGTTATCAGAGTGAATCACCTTATTTTTTCCTGTCATGGTAAGGACGGGTGTATACTACTTTCAGATTATAAACCACAAGAGCCCTATCAAGTCAGCACTGTCGCTGTAAAACAGTAAAACCACAAAGCGTCTGCTTACCGGGTTGATGTCGAGGTATGTTTCGTGTTCTTCCTCATTTGGGTTCATTCCGTCGATGGCATTGATGTACCTCTTATCGGCTTGGTAGAAATGAGGGAATGACACAACAATGGGTGCACCTATACAGTGAAGGGGAAATAGGAACAGAAAATAGGCATTAGTTGCTGTTCTTTTATTCAGATCAGTGGTTGACATTCACCCATCTAGGAAAGCTCTACGGTGAATATGCAATAACAATAACTTCTTTATCAGCTATTGCTTTATAATGACTGGTCATAAAGACCAATTAAACCATTAAGATGATTAAAGTCATGTCAAGCCTCAGCCAACAGACTAGTCCAGTAGTTCAGATTTTTTTTACCTGGCCACCCCAAAAAGATTTAAATGTGACATTTTAAATTTTACAACTATAACATAACTCCATGACACTTATAAATTCATACACTTAAAAATGATGGCAAAGCAAAACAACTGTACAATTTTGAAAACTTTTTTGAAATAAGTCTCATTTATTTAATAAAAGGAACACTAAAGACAGTAACATTGTGAAATATTACAAATTTAAACAACAGTTTTCTATTTAAATAGATTTCAAAATGTAATTTATTCCTAGCTCCAGTCTTAAAATGTCACATGATCCTTCAGAAATCATTCTAATATGACATTTTGGTTCTCAAGAAACATTTCTTTTTTTTTATTTTTATAATCAATGTTGAAAACAGCTGTGGTGCTTGATATTTTTGCGGAAATAGTGATTCATTTTGTTCCAAGATTGCTGAATGGAAAGTATAAAAGAACAATATTCAATTAAAATAGAATTTTTTTGTAATATTGTAAAATTCTTCACTTCTCACTTTTGATCAATTTGTGTCCATGCCGAATAAAAGCATACATTTCTATAAAAAGAAATCTTACACTTTTGAACGATAGAGTATATATTTCTCCATATGCAAATGATAGACGTCATAAAGACATGTAAATGATCAACGAATGCAAAGCAAGTAAAAAAACGCACCACTGGCCCCAGTGGAGCAGGTGACAGTTCAGACTGCAAAACTGCAGTTTTTGACATTTTCCATTATCTAAAATAACGTCCCTGCGGCATTTTCTGGGACTTTTTGTTTTTTTATGCACACTCACAGAAAATGAAACTTCCTCTTTTGTTGGCAAATGACTCAATGACAAGACGAATCATTGACAAAACTTCCTCTTGACTCAATGACAAGACGGCAAGTACATGAACACCCACCAAAAACACAAAATACTACTACTAGGTGCTTAGACTATCATTAGCTAAGAGTAATATGTACCACCGTATCACTGATTTATATCCCATATCCCATTCCTTAACACTCTAAATATAACTATTAATGAACAGTCATGAACCCTTCTAGGAATCATGACTAATCAAAGCATGTGCAAATTTCGACAGCTGTTTCCTATCATGAGTCCTCACATGATAAAATTGAGAGTTTACATTCGTTCAATAATAATATTAGCCTACTAGTTTATGGCGGAAACAATAGAGGCTGAGATAGCGTAATCTTGTCAGAGGACACCTACAGTGAATCAAGTGATTGAGTTATAAAACTGCACTAAAAGTTATTCATTAAGCGCTGAACCCTGATTTCCCTTTCATAGTCCAAGAGTGTGCAAACAAAAGCAGACCAATTTAACTTGAACTCAGGTTACGAGGCCACCGATCAGTAACGGTAAACCCTGAAATTCAATACTATTTACACATGCTTGGTTTGCTTTGGTTGAATGTCAGTCTGGACCAGCTATTCAGGGCACCAAAATCTTTAGCACACTTAGACTGCTTTACCTTGTTAATTACCATATTTAAAAAGTTACCCTAATTTCCCCACTCAATTCAAGGAAATTGCTTCTTTTGAAAACATCCCACACCTTTTTCCACTGTAAAAACTTACTCCAACAAACACGACGGCCTTGAAGCTAAGGTGCGGTGTGACTCAAAACAGGCTTACCTTGTCGACAGACGCTGACTTTGAGGACTCCTTTTCCTAGACAGTCCCCAGCAGGCACGCAGAAGCCAGCGTTACTGGGGTTCTCATCTGGGGGAGCGAGTACATCTGAAGGAGGGGCGAAGCGGAAGGCAGGGATGCCCTTCACCTCTTTGTCAGCCACGTAAGCCAAATGAATGGATCTACATGTCATAACAAATGTAAGCAACCATGTAGAAGTAACCAAGTACCTTGTAAGTGTTAAAACATGTTACTTACCGGCACAGATCAGCAGCAAAGATGTAGAGGAGCTCTTTCCTGGACAGGAAGGTGTGGAAGACACTGCCATCGGTACCATTGATCATGTTGCTCTGGTTAGACGACCACCAGTTCATCTGACTGAGAGTGAGACAATGAATAGATGTGACCATTGTTTTTGTCACAGGTTCTAATGGAAAAGGAAGATTTATTATGTATTTAATTCTCCATAATTCTAGTCCAACTACAATTCCAAAGTTTGGAATAATGACATTTCAAAAGTCTCTTATGCTTGCGAAGGCAGCATTTATTTGATTAATACAGTAAAAACAGTAATATTGTAAAATATTATTAGAATTTAAAATAGCTGTTTTAAAAGGAAAAAAGAAATTAATACTTTTATTCAGAAAGGACGCTTTATATTGTACAATACATTTGTTTAAAATAAATGCTGTTCTTGTAAATTTTCTAAATATTTCTATTCATATATA